GTCTTCTTCCTGTGAGCAGGCTTGTATCTTTAAAGTGCATCCCCTTTGACATTCAGATCAAAGTCCTAATTAGCAGGGGTCTTGACTTTTCCTCTGCTATATAGGTTTTTCCAAACCACATGACCTTGGATGGACTGAAGGGACAGAGTGTCAATCTTTGGTCCAGGAGAGGGACATCACCTTATCAAGTGGACCTGGACTCAGAGAGGTCAAGAAAGAAAGTAGAATGAGGCTATCTCCCTTCTCAGTGAGTGAGAGTTAGCTGCCCTCTGAAAAAGGAGAAGGCTGAGACTGGACATTGAGGTAACTGAAAGAAGCTGGGCTCCTATTGTGGCCTAGCAGGGGCACTGCACTTCTTGTGTTCACCTTCAAAAGGAATTCTGTGGAAGGGGCATTCTGTATCAAATCACCACCCAATTTCTAAAACACCAAGGACCCAGACAGCCTTAATGTTTCCCTCAGTGTAACTAAACTTCAGACAGGCTTCTTCCTGATTTGAGGCTCTGACCTCTCTTTTCTTAGAGCTTTTTTTCTTTTTTTTTTTTTTTTGTTTTGAGACAGGGTCTTGATTTGTCATCCAGGCCGGAGTGCAGTGGTGCTATCATAACTTACTGTAGCCTTGACCTCCTGGGCTCAAGTGATCCTCCTACTTCAGCCTCTGGAGTAGCTGGGACCACAGGAGTGCACCAGCACGCCTGGCTATTTATTTTTTATTTTTTTAAAATGGAGTCTCACTATGTTGCCCAGGCTGTATTTTCTTTAGGAAACTTTTAATTGTAAATTTGTTCTCTGCTCCTTTGAGATATATGTAAATCTTTTAAAACATCCCTTGCCAGTTTTACTACCCAGAAATGTGTTTCTCAATGATCTAGGATCAATGTCCTTGAAATATAATCATCAAAGAAGATAGCTTTGAGCCTCATAACATATCCTGCGGAATGACAGGAGCCTAACTTCAGTGGGTGCCTTGCTCCAAGTTGTAAAACTACCACCTGTCATAAAGATAGGAGCAGTTTGCTTTCCTTTGGGTAAAGCCAATTAGCAAACACAGCCCACACATCTCCCTCTCACTCCAGCATTCAAAAACACCCTGTTTTCCAGTGAAGTTGAATTCAGACTAAGTTCTGGCCTCTCTCCCCTATTGCAGTAGCCTTGAATAAAGTCTTTCTTGCCTGTTTAAATTTTGTGGGCGCCTTTTTTGCTTTAACATCATCAATGTAAATAAACTCAACTAAAATGTATTGTGTCCCTATAAACCCTGGTTGCTTTGCAGCATGAAAAGATTCATGATTAAACTGCAAGAGCCAAAATACCTCTTGGTTTGTGCATCTTCCTGGGGGATCCTGAGACAGTGAGTTACAGTTGACACAGGAAGGAGGGATGTCACCACTATCATAACTGAAACATTGTCAGGGAGCAGCAAGAGGCTGGCTGGAGCTGGGCTGAGATAGAGCACCTGCCTCACCCCAGGCACAACTCTAAACACTTTGCAAATAATTCCTCATTTAATTCTTACAACAACTTTATGAAACAGATTTTATTAGTAGCCCCATGTTTCTAGGTAAGGTACACCTCTGACACCACAGACATTTGGTAAGCATAGAGCACTGGCACTTTGGTTCCAGGATTTGTGTTTTAACCACTAGCTTATATTTCTAAATTCTGCAGCTAGAACCAAAAAGCACAAAATCCCAAGGCATGATGGCGGGCCCACGGAGACCTGATCAGGTAACCAGGTACATGTCAGATAAGTCTCTATGTCTCTACCAGAGAGCAGTTCCCTATTTCAGGACTAAAGCAGCCCACAACAGGGCTACCATAGCATCCACCCGTGATGTCCCCTGTCTCACACAATAGGACAATTCTGCATCTCACCAATTCCTAAGGTCAGAGGGGGTTTCTTCATAAAAGGCTATGTAGGTTCTTTCTATAAATCTGCCTTCACACGACCACAAGCCTGGCAGTTCTAGGAAAAAAGGCTGTTTTTCTGCAAAGGGTGTACAAAGGTGACGGTGTCTGAGAACAATTGAACAGTATCGAAGCTGCTTCCTCCAGGCAGTTCTGAGGTGACCTTGACTAATCTCTGCAGTACATGCTGAAACTGAAATAGCCTTGACTGCCATCAAGGGCAAACTATATTCTGTACTTGGTAAGCTGAGTACCTTTTCCCCTGCCACTTGCTCCCTTACAACTTACTTTCCTCCCTTGCTGCTTCAAAAAGTGTGGGAGAAGCCCTTTCATAGAGCAAGCTGATGCTTGCACAAAGGAAAGAGAAGTAAAGTTGCTTTTGCACCTCAACTACACAAAAACGAACCCCTTTACTAGGTCCCCAAGGCCCCCAGTGTAGCCCCTGGACGTCTCTGCCTGGATAGCTGTAGGCTGGGGCACCAGGCTCACCATTTCATTCCCTGAACCTTCCTTTTTCCATCTGTGAAAAGAGAATCTCAATATCTTGCTTAGTACTCTCCAGGGCTGTTATGAGGCTCAAATGAGATAATGTATGTAAAGCACTTTGTAAACTGTAAAATGCTTTACAAATGTAAGGGATTATTATAAACCACAATACAGTGATGTTTTATGCTTTTATAAAACTACTGGCTGGAACTGCTGTAAGGGGAATCCCTCTGGTGATTTTTATTTTGGAAACAGGAGGACTTGGGTTTGTCTCCTTGCCAGGAATTGGATTCCTGGCAGCAGCTGTTTATTCCATTTCGCTCCGCAACACACATATGGCCACAGCACGCCTCCTGCAGAGCTGACAATATGTACTACTGTGTTTGAGCACATCCACGGAAAGCGTCCTTTCTCCACCCTTACTATTTCTAACTTGCCAAGTCTAACACCTAGGAAATACAGACTTTCAAATCGCATTTCACCACAGCAGTGTTTGTTTTCTTAGATGAGGTTTTTCCTCCTTAGCAACCAGAATTTTGCAAACTCTCACCACAAAAACAGTCTTCTCTTGAGCAGATTGAAAAAATTGGATGTTGCTCTTTTCAACCTTTGCCATGATTAAAATGAAAATGATATTAATATTTGTCCTGAGATGGAGCTTGGACCAGCTGAAAAGGATTAAGGTGCTAACACTTTCTTTTTTTCCTTGTACCTGCAGTGCACAGACAGACTGGACCAGCGCTGGGTGGTGGTGCTCAAGCTTTCTGCTGCAATGGAATGGAGTGCACTGATGCTCTGCACGAATACCTGCACAGGGCAGCGTTATAGATAACCACTCACTGCTCCCTGAGGGATTTGAGATCATTCGATGTCTAAGAACTACTACTGGCTTGTAAATGTCAAGATAAATTATGAACATTTGCAGAAAAGTAACTGTTTGACTAATTTCCTGTTCCACGGAGCAAACACACTGCCCTATGTATTTAGAATCTGGTGCTGACAGCCAGGCCATGGCAAACTTCAAGGTTATAGGATCATAAATGGGATTAGATAAGCCAGACAGTGTGGCTCAGACTCCAGCACTTTAAAAATATTATTAAAACCCCAGAAAAGGCAAACAATTTTGAAGGGAAAGTAAGATGTAACAGACTCCCACCAAGAGAGAAAAGAATCTTGGATACGATACTGGAAACTTGGTAACCCTTTGCCCCACCCACCCCCCCGCCCCCGGAGCACTTCTAGAGTGCATGTTAGTTAGAATCAATCAACATTTTAGGACATAAGACATAATGCAACAAGTCATGCTTTATAGCTCAGAAAGATTTTTCTATTTGGTTTGATCCACGGCAAAAAAAAAAAAAAAAAAAAAAAAAAAAAAAAAAAAGTTTAAGGAAAGAACAAAGAAAACTTATTGAGAAGACCAAAATCAACAGTAAGAAGTTGCAGTTCCAGAGAGCAGAACGCAGTGCCCCACCTGAAAGCCTTTGCGTTTTAAATTGTTTCTTTTTAATTGACCAGATTAATTATTTCCACCTTGCTGCTTGGCAGGAAGGGTCACTATTCCTTTTTACAGCATTAATGAACTCATTCACTTTTTTTCCCATGTAATTAAGACTGTGAGTTGCAGATCACATTCTTAAATCGGCTTAGTGTACAGCCAATTCAGTCTTTATTAAACAAAATATATGACATCAGGTATTTCTCACTGAAAAAGAGTTTTGAGTTTCTACTGAGTTTTCCTCCAGTTGAGAGAGGAGAGTGGTGACTTTGTTCTTTTTATTTTTTTGGAGAAGAAACACAGACCTGTAAAGGTTATAGCATCCAGGGTGGTGTTTCATTCTTAATATACTCAAAGTCTGGAGATTTAAAGGGCAGCTGATGGATTCATGTTCAGGTATTTCTATTGCCACCAAAATTCTGACCAGGTCATTTCATGAGCTATTTGAAAAGAAATAACTTTGGGTATGCTATTAAGTTAGTTATGTGAAATATATTGCCCTCTTCTGTTAGCTTTATTTCTAGGCCATTTAGGAAACCCTAGGAACATTAAGAGTGTCTCAGTGCATTGACTACAGTAGCTGAACACAATACAGAAGGCAGTTTGCGGTGTCTACAGTCCTCAAGAGAGCAGACTTTAAGGCAACACAAATTATCTCCCAAAGCATTTGATTTCATTCAGGACTTCTGGATCTCAAGTTGATTCCCAGAGGAACTCAATTTAGAAGTAAAGGGTAAGGTGCTTTAATCTTTCCAGGACCTGAATGAGATTTCCTCCATTAAATTGAGTCTGGTGGAGCACCTGATCAAGAGAGAAACTGATGGGCAGACATCAAGAAATTGATGGACAGACATCTTAATGCCTGTCCTCTTTGCCACTAGCAAAAGACAAGCAACACACATTTAGAATATTAGGAATACTAGTGCATTGTTTGTACATATGAAAAGCTTGTGAGAAATCCATTGCATTGTCTGAATACAATGGGATTGGGATCAAAGGTACAACAACCGGTGTTTTTCCTTTTATTACTCCACTTCTTAGTAGAAATTGAATCTTCTAGTTACAGGTAATAACTCTGTGACAAAAATACTCAAGTATGTAACATAACTTAGTTTCTAATTTTTTTAATGGAACCTATATTTGGCAATCTTCTGTCCCACAGTTGTAAAACTTGATGGTGTTCTTATTTTGTCTACTGAGATTTCAGGTGCTTAACTGCTGTATTTCCTTCCAACCCAAAATTCAAGTGTAGTAATGATATCCATGTGCTTCAAAAAAGGTATGTTGGCCTGTGGTTATGTTTTAAATAGGTGCCTAAACACACATACTCACACAGGGTCACGGAGTCACCTGGAATGGCATTTTGTCTTGGTCTCATGCACAGCAGACTGCACCCTGAAAAAAACATTCAAAGCTAATTGCAGCATGGCTTAATGTAACTCTGTCTTTTGCATTAAAAAAAGATAGTGTAAATGCTTCTTACCCATTGTTGTGATGGCTTGAAACAGTGTGCAGTCTTTATACAAACAGGCCATTTCAAATCCATGTTATAGGCATGTGTGGGGATGGCAGTAATGAGAAGCAAAACATATCAATTTCAAGGAGTTGGCGTCTTTATGCATGCTGTTAGGGTCCTCTTTGTGGCTTGTACCCAAATTGTTTTGTGCTGGATACAGCTGAAGCCTGGGTCTCTGGAAAGCATCGTGATTAAAGGGAAATGTACTCAGAGAAATAAGGCTTTCAACTTCTAGGAAACTAACCAAACTAAGGAACCACCTCAATGTATTACCAGTTCTCACTGGGCCAATTTCACCACAGGGACACAGTCACTTTCAATGACAGTGAGTCCATCTCTCTGCCCCTCCAGGAATGCAATGCCAAGAAGCAAAAACATCTGTCTTGGGGAAATCTTTGGGCATCATAAAAGTTCCCTGCTCTCCCTTCAACCAGATTTTCCTCCTGCGCTGGCACGGAGGGCTGCCAGACACAGTACTTGGGGAAGCCCGCACACTATTATGGCCAGCTTGGCTACCCTCCATTCTGGGCTAGGTCCTCTGGAGTCTCGTTTTCAGCAATACCTCCCCTCTGTGCCTTCCTCCCTCCCTTTCCCACAATTAACTTGCCTCCTTCCAGGTTGAAGTCTGGATCAGGACTTTTGAGGACACAAAGGGGAGAAAAATAGGAATGATGTCTGGGTTAGGTCTTAAGAGTTTATTCCACTGTATGAAATACTCCATACACTGTTTAAGAATAATAACCAAGAGCGATCTATCTGGTGATTGCAATGCTGGTTTTTGGTTGTCTGATGTTTGGTATAAATGCTATTTTATGCACAGAAATACTGATATTTTTATTGGTGTAATAATGTTATTTTGGTCATCAGTTAACTTGGTTCTCCCTTTCCAATTCTACACCATCTGTCTCTACCTATCTCCCACCCCAGTCACTGATACCCTCACCACAAGCCCCTTCAGCCCCTCTTTACCACTCAGCTTTTGTAACTCCTTGGCTTCCCTACCCCAAAACCCAATGGCTTAGCTGAATTTGGTGGGAGGAGCCAGATCTCCCTGCCTGGGAAGGGGAAGGGTAGATCCCAGTTGGGCACATCCCTCCTGGTCCTCTGGAGAGATCACACTGCTGCAGCTGGAAGTTACTGGCCAGATTCGGGAGTGGTGCAGATGTGGTGGGCCAGAGAGCTCCACTCAAGCGAGCCACAGTGGCAGAAAGGGCTGAAGTCCTGCTGGGCCACCAACTTCAAAGGCAGCAGCTCCAAGAGAGGCACAGACCAAGGTGGGGGCAGTGACTGAAGGGACAGCAAATTCCATCATTTATAAATTTCCCAGTCTATGGTATTCTGTTACAGCAGCACAAATGGACTAGGACAGTGGGGGAAGTATAATTTTCTCCCAGGGAGGAACAGCAAATATTTTGAATAATAATATAATCTATCATGAGCCCCATTATCAGACAAACATATCAAATGAAAAGTCTGGCAGAATGAGAAAAGTTACAAACATTTGTCATTATCAGGGAGAGAAAGCTTGACATTTCTTTGACAAATATAATTTATCAATATAATTCCCTCTATAACAAAAAACAATCTAGAGCCACATGGTGGAGCTCAGCAGTTTGGTGGTGGATACAGTGTGGACCAGAAAGAAGAGTGCAGCTGAGAAAGAAGAAACATCACAGATCTAATGGGGCCAGTGCCAAGGGGCAGGCAGCTTTGGGAGCCAGGATGTCTTTGACCCTGACCTGTTGGTTATGTAATTTCTATTGACCTCACTTATACTCAGCCTGTAACCTAGCACAGCAATCTCCTTTCAAGATCACACTGAAAGGGCTGAAAGGTCTCTGCCCATTCGCTTGAGCCTCAACCAGAAGACAGAGAGAACTGGCTCACCATTGGACAGATGTTTCCACACTTGCTGGATAGTATTTAGTGTTGTCTATCCAGGAGCCAGTCTGAATTGTTTGCCTCTTCCTCTAAGGAAGAACCCACTGCTTATGACCACAAAACTTTTGGCTTTGCCTAGACACAAATTTGAGTTCTGATAAGACCCTGGTAGGCTCAACTGTAGGTTCCCACACAGACTCAATGATCCCTGGAATGCAACGTGAGTAAGTGGCAGAGGGGCACAGCAGTTCTCAATTATGACCCTCTGGACCCTCACACCCAGAAACACTTAACTCTGAGCTGCATGCCTACTAGCAAGGGGTGGGTCCTGGTGGTCAGCTGCTTGCACAACAGGCTGTAATGGAGCTGTGTAAGCGAGCAGGCCTGGGCTGGCAGGCCCTTGGTGGCTCTCTGCTCTATCCCATCTGAAATGTGAGGATGATTAATTGGAAACATCTCTATTAGAAACTCACCTTCTTGCCACGTCTGACTATTCCTTTGAATGCATTAACCCCACCTCCATGTATCCCAGATCCTTTATGGAAGTAACTGGTTTTAAGAAGGTGTAAAGCTGCCCTAAGCAAAGATGAAGCTTGGTGAAATGTATGTGTAATAAGTAACCAGATTATCCGAGAATGGTTTCAAGGTGAAACTGTCTCTAAGGCTGAGAGACTGTGCCCCCTCCAGACTAGGGGACAGTCAGTGACAGATATGCAGCTATATCAGCTAATCTGAAGCAGTGGGACAATCATCAGAATCCACTATTATTTTTAAAATACTTATCTGCTCAGTACCCTCCACTCCAAACACACCTGTCTTCTCAAAGGAGTTCAACTCCACTAGCCGCAGGGATGGGAACATATGACACAGTTTGGGACAATCATAGGACCTCATATGCTTGGCTCTAAAAGGTGGGTGACTATCCATCCAGGACTGAATGGAATTCTCTGTTTAAGTGGCAACTTGCCTCTTGTCCCTGAAAAGACAGTTCAGTGGCATGGACAGTCACTGAATTCAAGTGTGGCTGATCTACTTGTTTATCATTTGCGTGTTTGTCTTGACAGTGTGCTGGAACTCACTGCTTATGACCACAAACCCCTAAACCTTGCCATTTTCCTCCAGTTATGAAGCGCATTCTATAGCCTTGTTGTCCGAATCCATGTACCTTGCAGTCCATCGTTCTTCTCGGAAGCCACTGGATATCTTGGCCCTGACCATTTACCATTTGAAAGGCAAGGGCCACGGGAAATGCTAGCTCAGCTCATCCATCCAGACAGCCCTCAGCCACTTCTACCTTCCAGCAACAGGGAGGAAGTGGGCTTATGCCTCTCATGAGTCTTCGGAGAGATATTCAGTCTTTCCAGCTATCCCTGAAGAAGCAAGGAGTAATCATGTTCTTAGATGTTCCCCCAAGTCTATCTGGGTATTTTCTCCTGATAGCGCTCTCCAGGTTGAACCCCAAGTGAAAGAAGAGTTAAGAACACTCAGGTCTGACCTTTTGCCTTTCTTCCTCCTTCCTGCCCAGAAAGGCTTCCTACTTCCCCTTCTTCTTTAATCAGAACCGTGCCTAGGTAATGTCCTCCTTCTCTACATAGCACTTGCCTTTCTCCCCTTCCTCTTCCCTGGGAAAGTGATACTGGAATGGCTGCAGAGAAAGAAAGTGAATTTCTAAGATGAGAAACCAATTGGAAAGTGTCTTCAAAATAGTGTCCTCTATGGCCGGGCACAGTGGCTCACGCCTGTAATCCCAGCACTTTGGGAGGCTGAGGCAGCTGGATCATGAGGTCAGGAGTTCAAGACCAGCCTGGCTAAGATGGTGAAACCCTGTCTCTAGTAAAAATGCAAAATTTAACTGGGCATGGTGGCAGGTGCCTATAATCCCAGCTACTCAGGAGGATGAAGCAGGGTAATTGCTTGAACCTGGGCAGCGGAGGTTGCAGTGAGCCAAGATCACACCACTCCACTCTAGCCTGGGTGATAGTGTGAAATTGTCTCAAAAAATAAATAAATCAAATAAAAAAACAAAATAGTGTCCCTATTTCTCCAGCAAAACTCATCAATCTTAGGTGAGTCTCCTCATATTTATTCATTCAATAATTATTTACTGAGGAGGTGGAGACAAGGTCCTTGACTGCAATAAAATCATCATTTCATGGGAAGTCCAATGAGCAGCTAACAATTACAAAGATCTCAGCACCTTTCAAACTGAATGACATTTTCTCAATTCCATATGTTTTCCCCTAAAAGATGGGGAGACCTTTGGCCAAGGGCTGTGTCTTATTCCGTAGCACCTAACACAGATGGTGCTTAAAAAAAAAAAGTTTGTTGAATAGGTGAATGAATGAATGAACAAATGTAAAGGAGAGTGTTGTAAGGGCATACATATAGGGCACTATATAAACACACAGAAGGACTTCCCACTTTCACTGGGATGGGGAAATGGGGCCTCAGTCAAGCAAAAAGTTCCAGGTGAAGATGGTGTTTGTGCTGAGCTTGCTGTTGAGCAAGCATTGAGAGGTGGAGAAAGCACATCCACACAGTGATACTACGATGGAAACAATCCCACCATGTCTCAGAAATCACATGTTGGAGCTGCAAATTGCAACACACCCAGAGTCCTTGTTGAGGACATGAAGCTGGTGAGTGTGCGAGACCTAGACTACATAGGGCCTTGTATTCATGCAAGCACTGTGTCAAGATTTTTGCTCCAAGTGGAGAGGAGTTTTGTCTATTTGCTCACCATTGTATTCCTTGCACTTTTTTTTCTTTTTTTTTTTTTTTTTTGGAGAGGTAGGGTCTTGTTTTGTTGTCTTGAACTTTTAGCCTCAAGTGATCCTCCCACCTCGACCTCCCAAAGTGCTGGGATTACAGGTGTAAGCCTCCCTTGAACTTTAATCACAGTTTCTTCTTCTCAATCACTTTAGCTTACATGTGGTTTCAGCCAGCTATGGCCCAGACTCAACATCAAGTCAGTCAGCCCTATAGCTTGTGCCTCTGGACTGCCTCCATCACTCTATATTTCCTAATTCAAATTTGCAGGAGCACGGATCTGATTGATGTGGTTCAGATTTTCCCGGAAGACCACATGAGGGGTCAGCCAATTGTATATCTATTCTGGGTGATGTGCCCAGCCCTGGTCCAATCAGCCTGGGCTGCAAGGGCAGGTCACCTGGTACCAGACTTGGCCATGTTGGCAGGAGGGCTGTGAGCATGTGGCATTCCCTTGGGGGGTGGGGTCAGTGAAGCAGGTACAGGACCGATGCAATCAGTACAAGTCCTCAGATAGATGGAAGGAAGAGGCCAGGACTGTGTCTTTTTTCTGATTTGCATACTCAGTGCTTCATATATGTTGAATCAATGGACAAATGAATGAATGAACATATGAGGGAATATGTGAAATTAATGAAGCAGAAGCAAGTGCTGCTCAGAAGACAATTATTGTAACACCAGAACAAGAAGGAGCCTGGACACTGCCCAGCAGCCCTCTTCAACCAGAGCTGTGCCTGGCACACTTTGTTCCTAGACCCCAGCCTGGCCCCTCACAGGGTGCCCCTTGGAGCATGAGCAAGGAAAAAACCCTGTCTGCCAGGGGTTTCACCCAGAACCTCCATCTAGCTGTGAAAACTGCCCCTGGGCCACTGACAGGAGCTTGACCCAGGAGGCCTCTGGAATAGGAGAGGACTCTAGTTGCACTCCCTAATTAATCTCAGGTTTGGCAAGAGTGGCTGGGAATGTCAGACATGTCTAGTCAAACAGATGCTTCCCCTGAGCTCTAGCAAACAACAAAGTTGTCAGTTACATTGAGAAACAAGAAGCCATAATATTATTTAAGAGCCCAGTGCCTTTGCTTGAGAGACATGGAAAGGAAAGTACTGGGCTTGGACTCAGAAGGGATGAGCTTCAGTTTCAGTTTGGCCCCAGATAAGTCATTTGGCTTCTAAGGCTCTCACTTTCCTTAAAAATAAGGATAATCACTCTGTTCTTCCTACATCTCATTTGGTTGTAGTGAAGGTCAGTTTAGATGCCTTTTGAGGAAAGAGTGTAAATGAGTGGAACACTGTACAGGTATGAGGAACTATTACTAACATCAACAACAATTAGCAAACAAATGGATGGTGATGGGCACATCTGGAGGTAGAAAGATCAGCTAGGAGGCTGCTGCAGGTCACCAGCCTGCAGGTGATGCCACCTTCAACCAGAGGCAATAGGAACAGGAAAAAGAGACAGAGACTCTCTCTCGACTTTTTGACCCATATGAGGCATCTGAACTGTTTAATAAGTGAACTAATTAAGTATAATCAGCAATTCTTTGGGAAGAAATCATCATACTTATCAAAACAGCACTTGTTATTGTAATTTCTGAATTCTGAATTTCACTCCTATTTTGTAACACTAGTAAACTTGGTACATATTTTTTATGGCATTCATCACCTGATTTAATGTGTTTGTTAAATTTTTTACCTCTTGTTCTAGGTCTGAATCCCTGCAGGGCAATGGCATGTTGAATTACTATTTGAAACCTCTCTTGGCACCCAGCATACTGCTTAACACACAGTCAACATGTAATGTTTGGTGGGTGAATGAAAGTTCACTCATGTCACTATGGATTAATTCATTACTTCAAATCTTTACAATCTTGCAAAGCAGATATTTTAATTCCTATTTTACAGATGAAGAAAGTAAGACTCAAAGATGTTAAGTAACTAAGTTGCCGAAGGCCCCATAACGGGTATAGCCTGGATTCCAATGGGCCTGCTCCAGAGCCCACTTGGCCTGTTTCCTCAGTGCCTGGCTGACAATAACAACTCCAGGTGGGTATGTCCTTGTAATTTGGCATTTATCTTGAAGTGGCTGAACTTCCATCCACTCCAGCATTTGTCTTGGTTGGACACACATTTCACTTTGGGGAGAAGGGAAAAGGCTTCTGGAAGGAAGGTACTGATAAGAAGGCCATGGGAAGGTTAAGTGTTTAAGACCTCTTCTGAAAACAATCAGCTTCTTGGCCAAGGCCCTTCGGGATAAAGTCTGATAGAAACTTTTCAACAGAGCTAAGGGAACTTCATTGCTCTGAACTTTAGGAACCTAGCACGTCCCTCCTTGTCCCATGGGGTCTTTTTGTTTCAGGAGAAGGATAGCACAGGGAATGTGGAAAGGGACAGGTCTCCACACCTGTACGGCCAGGAAGGTGGCTGGCAGGGATTGTCCAGTAGGAAAGGAGGTTCTTAATAGTAGTTCAGAATGTATAGTTTATTTTTATTTTTATTTTAGAGACAGAGTCTCACTCTGTCATTTAGGCTGGAGTGCAATGGCACCATCTCAGCTCACTGCAACCTCTGCCTCCCAGGTTCAAGCAATTCTTATGCTTCAGCCTCCCAAGTAGCTGGGATTACAGGTGCACCACCAAACCCAGCTAATTTTTTTTTTTGTATTTTTAGTAAAGACTGGGGTTTTGTCATGTTGGCCAGGCTGGTCTCAAACTCCTGGCCTCAAGTGATCTGCCCGCCTCAACCTCCCAAAGTGGTGGAATTGCAGGCGTGAATCACCGTGCCTAGCCTCAGAATGTGTAGTTTTTAAAGGCTGCTTGTCATTAAGAAGGAAAACCAAACTCCCACTATGTGCTTGTTATGTCCCTGTTGTGTTTTTTTCAGTTATCAGAAGCACATCCAACCTGCCTGATCCAGCTAATACACTCATAGACAAACATGTTCCTCTACTAGAAGACCCAGAATTCAGTGCTCTTCATAAAACACCATTAAAAATTGCTACATTGAATGTCATCATACAAACCCGGGCCAATTTTATACTCAGAGACAATTGTCACCAGTGAAGATTTAAGGATATTTTATAAATCTCAGAGAGTACAGAAGGATATAAAATGATGAGTAAATGTCTCCTTCCTGAACTGCCACTCATAAGGAGCCCTAAAGTGAATCCTGAAAATCCCTGAATTTGCCTGAGCCAACCAGTCCATCAATCAGTGCTCACTTTCTTCTGAGATACGAGGTCAAAGATCAGTCTCTCCCTGCCTTCCCCTATAAGTGGAGAGACATGCACACACCTACAAGGAGAGCTGACCATCCAAGGAGATATGTGATAAGTACCAAAGAGTAGACCAGACATTTCACTGATGGCAGTTGGAGCAGGGGTAATTTAAAAACAGACCTTTCCTACCACAACTTCTGTGCTCTGGGCTGAACCTCAGCTGAATGTTAGACCTCGAACTCCAGTTATTTGTGACCCTGTCATTGCCTCCTGTTAAACAGGAAACTAAGCTCCTCAGAGCCTTCCTGGGTAGCACCTAGCACAATGCCTGGAACATCATAAGTGCCCAATAAATAATAAATTTATACCTAAGGCCTGATATTTAGACTGAATATCAGTTACCTGATATTTAGATTCATTATGTGTATAGGATAGATAGTGAGTGCCTGCTCAGAGCAATTCTTCTAGTATTATTGTTGCCTTTGATATTTCTTTCTAGAAACATAAAACACAAACATCTCTGTATTAATGCACTTTGATAGCTTACTTTTGGAAGGAGGATGGGGAAGAAGGTAGTGAGCCTCTTTGTTTAAAGAAAGCTCAAAGGATTATAGAGACAGAAGTGAGTCCTGATCCAACTACTGGCAGATGTTCTGCAATCACTCCTGGCAGCAGGAGACATGGAGAGAGCTGAATTTCTTTGATGGATACAGACCTGCCCGAATGTGACAAGAAGGACCATTCATTAAAGCCCCCAAACCATTGCCAAAGGCCAGCTCCAGGGTTCCAGGGTGGGTCTGCCTCTCTGGGCCTGCGCCTGGACCAGAGGCCTGGAAGATTACCTTGATGGCCACATCCATTTGGCACAAATGAGAAGGCACGGGGCTATCCAGCAAGCTGTGCAGAGTGGCTGGCTGTGTTTGTAATCTTCTGGCACTTGCAGTCCTGGCTGGCTGGTTTTCCAGCTTACCCTGGCACTCAGACCTGGCATTTCAGAAACTACTGGCAGCAGATCTTGGAAATGGTATCTTTAAAAAAAAAAAAAAAAAAAGCAAGGAAAGCTAATGTTGCATTGGCAAAGCTCACCTGAGGCCACCTCCATCTGTCATTCCCTCCCTTTATAACTCTCCATTTTCACTTTCTCTTTAGCAGCCAGAGCCTCTGCTGTCCTTTCCATGCCCTCTCTGGGGACAGTCCTGTGTATGGTCTTCCACCATCCCCTCGTTTATGACTCCCTCCTCCATACAGTCTGACAGCTGGGCAAGGCAGCTGAAGTAATTTCCATAGGGTTGTCAACTGAGCGTCTGGTGGATGGGAAGATGGTTTCGACATGCAGGGGACGAACCTGACTCCCTGCCACAGATGGGCAGAGGGACTGCACAGAACATGTGATGGCCATAATGAGGCAGCAGAGCTCTGGGCTCCACCCGTAGCCCAAGGAGGGCCCAGCAGAGACAGTTGTGGAGTACTGAGCTTTTCTTGACACTCTCTGGACGTCAACTAGGGTTCCTTAGTTACAAATAATGGAAACTAAGTATGTTAAATTAAAAAAAACAAAAAACAAAAAAACAAAACAGAATTTACTGAAAGGATACAGCCCAGCTCACAACATCATAAGAAATGCTGAATCCCTTAGTCTTAGAAAGGGCAGGAAGAAGGGAAGGTCTTGGGATCAAGGTAACAGGGAATAGAGTACAGATTACCCCTTCAGGACATTTGGTGTCCAGTATCAAGCTGTTCACGATTCCTAGTGAAGGCCGGGCCCGGTGGCTCATGCCTGTAATCCTGGCACTTTTGGAGGCCAAGTCGGGTGGATCACCTGAGGTCAGGAGTTTGAGACCAGCCTGCCCAACATGGTGAAACCCAGTCTCTACCAAAAATACAAAAATTAGCTGGGTATGGTGGCAGCGCCTGTAATCCCAGTTACTCTGGAAGCTGAGGCAGGAGAATCACTTGAATGGAGGCAGAGTTGCAGTGAGCCGAGATTGCACCACTGCACTCCAGCCTGGGTGACAGAGCGTGACTCCGCCTCAAAAAAAAAAAAAAAAAAAAAATTCCTGGTGAATCGGACTACGTTGGGATCAAGTGACCCAGTAAAGCCAATTAGATTGGCTTAATTTGATTGACAGTCCACCAAGACTTTATAGAGCACAGAGAAGGGCCTGCTGTACCAGGGTGGAAGAACAACTGGGTGGCCAAAAACAGCAAGTGTCCACCACCGTTAACCCAGAGAAGCCCTTTTTCTTTTTTCTTTTCTTTTTTTGTTTTGTTTTGGATACAGGGTCTCACTCTGTTGCCCAGGCTGGAGTGCAGTGGTGTGATCATGACTCCCTGCAGCCTTGACCTCCCTGTGATCCTCCCACCTCAGTGATCCCTGAGTGATCAGGGAGCCAGCTCAGCAATCCTCCCACCTCAGCCTCACAGAGTAGCTGGGACTTTTGTACTTTTTGCAGAGACGGGTTTTGTCATGTTGGTGAGGCTGGTCTTGAACTCCGGAGTTCAAGCAATCCTCCTGCCTGGGCCTCCTAAAGTACTGGGATTACAGGCATGAGCCACCACACCTGGCCTCCCTTTTTTTTTCACACCTGTGTTTGCTCAAACTTGCCAACAACTGGATTTTAATGTGAGAAAAAATGGCGGAAGAGCTCAGGAAACCAAGAACAGGAGGGGACTCGATTACTGTTACCAGGTAGGTTAGATCGCAAGAGGGGAGTCCTGAAGCAGATTTCTGCTCCCCTGAAATCCAGAACAGAGGAATACCATTTACCCAAGCCAAAAAGCTGTGAGTCACCCACAGGTTTCCATTGCCTTCCCTCTTCCCCCCAAATCAAATAGGGCATCAATTTATTTAATTTTTTCCCCCAAACATCTTTCATTTATATATAACCTGTCAAGCCTCCCATTTCACCCGCCCAGGGCCAGAGCCTCCTAACCAGTCTCTCTGCCTCCAGGCTTTTCCCTTAAATACTTGCTGACTGCAGCCAGAAGGATCTGGAAACCTAAATCAATCAAGACTGTCCCTCTCAGGGGCTTCCTGCCACCTATGGGACAGCCTTAGCCTAAATGCAGGGCCCTTATGATTTGTCCACAACTCACTTATCCGGCTTTCTTGTAAGATTCTCCTTTATAACTTTCACATCGAGTTTCTTGAAAGCCCTATTAGTGCCAGCTGACTGTTTGCAATGAAGAGGTGAGTAAAAGAAGTATCATCTTCATTACCTGGTTCCATGCTATGAACCAAACTGTCCCCCTTAAATTTTGTATATTGAAGCCCTAAACCCCCATGTGACTACATTTGAAAACAAGGCCTATAAGGAGGTAACAAAGGTTAAGTGAGGGCGTGAGAGGAAGGCCCTAGTCCCATAGAGCCGGTGTCCTTAGAAGAGAAAAAGACAGCAGTGCTTTCTCTTTCTGCCATGTGAAGACACAGCAAGAAGACTGCCATCTGCAAAGCAGGACGACAGCCCTCACCAGAACTGCCCCTGCCAGACCTGCATTTGAGGCTTCTGCCCCCAGAAGTGTGAGAAAATTAATTTCTTTTTTTTATGCCACCTGGTCTGTGATATCTCTTATAGCAGCTGGAGCAGACTAGGGCAAGAGCATACCATGAAACAGTCTGTGAAAACCTTGACATCACTTTGAAGTCTTTTTAAAAATTTACTTATCTATATTTACTTTTTTAGAGATGGGGTCTTGCTCTGTTACCCAGGCTGGAGTGCAGTCAGTGGGGCAATCATGGCTCACTGCAACCTGGAACTCCTGGGCTCAGGTGAATCTCCCACCTCAGCCTCCCAGGTAGCTGGGACTACAGGCACGCACCACCATGCCTGGCTGCTTTTTTTTTTTTTTTTTTGTAGGCACAGGGTCTCACTATGTTGCCCAGGCTGATCTCAAACTCCTGGCTTCAAGTGATCCTCCTACCTCAGCCTCCCCACGTGCTAGGAAGTCTTTGGTTTTAGAATAAGTTTTGATATTCTTGCATCCTGCCTCATAATAGCCTTACTGGCTTTAATATAAATATTATTTCCAATCACACATACAGTAAATCAAGCCACAGTGACCCGCTGACTTCTAGTATCCCCAGCCCACCATGCCTCACCATAGGGAATTTAAAATCCACTTTTGGAGTCCACCTCAGTCATTTCCACTTCAAGGCTTTTGGATACTCTGCTCTTCGCTGGAAAATTCTCCCCCTGGCCCCTTTTGTCCATTTGGTGAACCCTTTAAAATGAAAACTCCAATGATCACTTCCTCTTTTAAGATGCTCCTAGCCCCACACCTCAATGCAGAGCTGACATCTTCCTTTATGTGCTCATTGTGCCTTTTGCAGATGCACAGCCCTTTATTACTTGCACATATGTGTATATGTTTACATGTATATGATGGCTACTGAATTGTAAGCTCTCTGAGGGCAGGCAGGAGGTCTGATTTATGAATGAATCCCCAGAGCCTAGCAGAGGGCCAAGCACAAAGTATATGCTTGGTGATTGTTGAAGAATAAATGAATGAATGAGTGAGTGAATGAATGAATGAATCACAAAGCAACTTAAATTAAAGCAGAATAATTTTTCTAGGATGTATCTGGGAATAGCAATAAAATGTTGAAATACAGACAGTCCCTGATTTAAGATGTTTAGACTTAGGATTTTTCAACTTTACAGTGGTACAAAAATGATACAAAGTCAGTGGAAAGTGGTGTGATACTCTCTTATGATCATGAGGGTAGACAACCGATACTACACAGTGAACTGTGTTGCCAATTTTGTTCAGCTGTAGGCTAACATAAGTGTTCTGAGCACATTTAAAGTAGCGAGGCTAAGCTACAATGTTGAGTTGGTTAGGTGTATTAAATGCATTTTTAGGTTATGATATTTTCAACTTACAATGGGTTTATTGAGATGTAACCCCATTGGAAATTGTGGAGCATCTGTATCCCCAAAGATTGACAGCAAAATCTCCATGGCTGCAGCCACCCCACTGCCTTAAATAGGACTGAGGATTGGTTAGAGGGTCTCCTGAGATTTCTCCATCTCATTTTGTGTGAGCCTGTTCTTCAAAAACCTTACTGCGTCTCTTGTTGATCCCCACCCCTCACTCCCTCTGAGCTCTCTCTAACTTAGTTGAGTCCTGAAGTAGCTAATGCTTGGACTATCACATTTATTTCTTAATTAGGCCACCTGCCTAAAAGCACCTCTCTCTTCTATGAGTCTACATATCACCTACTGATTGCTCACCCCACCCAAAATCCTACCCAAACCCTCCACGTATCTGAAGAACATGGCCTAAGGTATTTAAGCTCTTTCTGTTTCTAACCTTAAGTTACCTTTCAACAATAGTCAAAATATGTGAATTGGTAACAGGGCTGTAGGTATTCACAGGAGGGAATACAATGGACAAAACTCCCTGTCCCCAAGACCTCACACTCATCCTCCAGCTTATCTGCCCTGTCTCCCTTCTCCATCTTCCTTCCCAAGCTTCTCCCTCATCAGAACACAGCTCCTCATTCCCATCTCCTTGCCTTTGCTTCCACTACTGTCTATCCTGGAATGTCACCTGAGCCACACTTACCTGAATCTCAGTCAAGGCCTCTGTCTATGAAGACTTTTATCCATACCTCAGCCCACAGCGATCTTTCTTTCCTTCCTCTTCAGAACTCTTGAGGTATTGACTCAGCCTCCATATACTTGTGTGGATGCATGTTAGGTGGTTTTGTGTGGAAATGCATGTGTATGCGTGTGTGTGTGTGTGTGTGTGTGTGTGTGTGTATGTGGTTCCCACCACTCAAATGTAAACTCTCTTTCTCCTCTGCATCTTTCTCAGCTCTTGGCACCTGAAGCTGAATCAATATGACAGGGCAGGGAACGAGACTGGCAGCGAGCAGCTCTGCAGGACTCTCCCTGACCTCCTTGGCTTCATTTCTCACTGCCCCAGATGTCCACTTCTGTCTGTCACTCCATCTGTCTGGCTCCTGTCAGCTGAAGCACTCACGACAACCTGTCAGGCTGGTGTAATGCCCTGCACCAGGGCACAGCAGGGGGAGAAGGAGCCCAAGTCTTGAAGATTTCACAGGATAGCCATTTTCCTTGAAGCCTGATAGAACCAGTCAGAATCCTCTTCCTTTCTTGGCTGCTTTAGAATAGAAATTGTGTATATACTCAGGGGAATATTCTAACCAGTGGGAGATTCTCATTTTCTTTCTGAAGGACAAGGACGTTACAGTAAAGAGGAAAAATAAGGCAGAGAAAGGACCTCCAAAGAGCCAGGATGTCCTCTCAGGCACTCCATTACATGCACAAGGGCCAGGGAGCCCACAGCTTGCATGGCCACTAAAATGGAGTCACAGCATAGTTCTCAGCAACATCCTGCCCGGAGGGCTGCACTGGCATGGTTGGACAGAGCCTGCTCAAAACATGCAGGTGGTGAGTAGTCCCTCCTTCACAGTGGACTTCACGGCCACCACCATTTCTTGCTGTCTCCAGCCATTCCTATTGCCATCTGCCAAAAGGGAAGAAAGAGAAGTTGTTCACAGATATCATCACTTGCCCAGCAACTCAGACTCCACACCAAGTAAGACAGCCAAGACAGCGCCTGCCCTGGGACTGAATTAAAGAGAAGAATTTAAGGGAAAAAAAAAAAAATTCTCCTAGATGGCAAGACCCACAATGCTCTGGGGCCACATCTAATTAACTTACAGCCTCTGATGTCAACAGCTTCCAAGGCTGGTGTAGTGCATTCGCAAACACATTCCAGAAGAGTCAGCATGATCTGGTGTTGACACAGGCCCATAACTGTCAGAGGCAGTAGTTTCCAATTTATGGATGCCGTAAAGCTTTGGCAATATGATTGCTACAATGTGTGGTGTGTTTTTGACAATAAGCAGAAGGTAGGGGGTTGGGGAGTATCGGTTCCACATTTGACTATGGATGTGGGCTCATAAGGGAAAACGTGTAGTGATTTCTGCAGTTGCAAAGCAGCTACAATAATGACTCCAAACAATGAGCCTAGGAATGTTATGTAGTTCTTTACTAGCAAACTCTGGACTTCTACATCAGCTCAAAGGTACATTAGTTATTCAACAAACATGCATTACCACCTACCCCATGCCAGGCACATAGTGCAGAATAAGTACAGAGTACAGTGGGAGCATAAGAAATGGATGGTAGGTTTACCTCCAAAGGATTCAGTAAATGCCAGGTCTCCTTACGTCAAGAACCCTCCTAAGAAGAACCATGATGGAAGGAAAAAAGAAGGAGAAGGGAAGTGAACACAGCTATCATCAGCCTTTGCTTCTATCTTGACAAGATGTGTGTGTCCTTAGACGCAGGTGTGTGAAACTTGTTCATGTGGGCAGCAATAGGAGGAGTGACTTTTTCATGGTCTAAGACCCAGATATAATACTAGACTTGATTATTGACCAAAATAAAACGTCACCAAAACATTCTTCATTTGTTATCACTTACTGGCCTCAAGGCCAACATTTGGGTGTACTCAAAGTCTGGAGCTCAAGAGTCTAAATAATACAGTCCCAAGCTAGAGCATAAGAGTGTGTGTGTGTGTATGTGTGTGTATGTGTGTGTGCTCATGTATATGTGCATGCATATGCCTAAATGCTGGTCTGAAACCCTCTAAATGGATTCCTTATGGTTCTCGAAAGCAGAGGCAGCTAGGTCATTAGAATCCATGCAACCAGCAGATATTTACTAACCACCTACAGGGTGCCAAGTATGGTGCTAAAACGGAGGGGCTAAGGGACAAACTGTGTGGCTCTCAGAAGTTAGTGCATTTTTCCTTAAGAACAGAGAGTGGATAACATATTAGATTCATATTCACATACTCATTGTTAGGCAATTCCAACTAGGAAAGACTTTTATCTTAAAAAATAAAAAAGGTTGCCACTACACATCTATTAGAATGGCTGAAATGAAAAACACTGACAATGTCAAATACTAGCAAGGATGTGGAGCAAAAGGAACTCTTACTTATCACCAGTGAGAATGCAAAATGGTACAGAAACTTTGGAAATCAGTTTGGTGGTTTCTTACAAAACTAAACATACTCTTATCATATAACCCAGCAATAGTGCTCTTTGGTATTTACCCAAAAAAGTTGAAAACTTATGCCACAGAAAAACCTGCTTGTAGATGTCTATAGCAGCTTTATTCAGAATTGCCAAAACTTGGAAGCAACCAAGATGACCTTCAATAAGTGAACAGATAAACTGTGGCATGTCTAGACAATGGAATATTAGTTAGTGCAAAAAAAAAAATGAGCTATCAAGCCATGAAAAGACATGGAGGAACCTTAGATGTATATTATTAAGTGAAAGAAGACAATCTAAACAGGCTATATATTGTACAAGTCCAACGATATGACATTTTGGATAGAGCAACATCATGAAGGCAGTAAAAAGACTAGTGGTTTTCAGGGGTCTAGGGAGAGAGAGGAATGAATAAGCAAAGCATAGAGGATTTTTAGGAGAATAAAATTATTCTGTACAATACTATGATGGTGAATACATGTTGTCTTAGTTCATTTTGTGCTACTACAACAAAATATCTGAGTCTGGGTAATTTATAAATGACAGAAATTTATTTCCCACAGTTCTGGAGGCTGGGAAGTCCAAGGTGCCTACATCAGGTGTCTGGTTAGGACCATCTTGCTGAATCTTCCAGAGGTGAGTAATGCTATTTCCTCATATGGCAGAAGAGCAGGAGACAGATTATTCTTCCCAAAGACCCATTTTCTAAAAGAATCCATTCAGGAAGGTGGAGGCCTCATGACCTAAACACCTCACATTAGGCCTCATCTCCCCACACTGTTGCACTGGAGATTAAGTTTCCAACACCTAATTTTTGGAGGGGACAAACACACTCAAACCATAGCACATGTCATTATGTATTTGTCGAAACTCATAGAAAGCACAACACTAATGTAAACTATGGGCTTTTATTGATAATGATGTATCATTGTTGGTTCATGAGACTAAGGACTGTTACAAATTTATCACTGAGGTGCCAGATGTTAATGGTGGGGGAGGAAGTATATGAGAACTCTGTACTTTATGTTCAACTTTGCTGTAAACCTAAGCTTTCTCTGAAAAATAAACTCCATTTAATAAATAAATGAATGAATAAATAAATGCATAAATAAATAAATGACAAAAAATGGCATTCCAATCTGTGGGCAGTTGTAGAAAGAAATCAATAGATCTGATGATTAAATTACTCAGTTAGGGCCCTGAGCAGATTTCTTAGGTTCTTTTTCACATGAGAATATCTTACATTTTTATGCTGACGTTGTTCATCCTGTAAGTCCATACCTATGTTCAGAACTGGAATAGTTTCATACTTGGAGCTTTCTGGATGACTCCAAAGATCCTGTCTCCAGCCCCAGTGTGCTAACACTTTCAAACCTGGAACCAGACAAGGTGAGCACAGAGAACTGGTGCATGAGAAGTTGTTGAAGACAGGCACTCTCAGTGTTTGGTGAACATGAGGAATGAAGTTGAAGAGTGAGAATGCTTTTTTAAAACAATTTTTGAAACAGGGTCTCACTCTGTTGCCCAGGGTGGTGTACAGTGGTGTGATCTCAGCTTACTGCAACTACCGCCTCCTGGGCTCAAGCGATCCTGCCACTGGCACACACCACCATGCTTGGCTAATTTTTAAATACTTTTTGTAGAGATGAGGTCCCATGCTATTGCTCAGGCTGGTCTCAAACTCTAGGGCTCAAATGATCCTGCCACCTCAGCCTCCCAAAGTGCTAGGATTACAGATGCAAGCCACCACACCCAGCGAAGTGAGAATGCTAAACCAATCATAGTAACATGACTCTGATATATATATATTTTTAAAGAAACTTACCAAAAGTGCATAATGGATGGTCCCAATTCTGCTAAATAGTCCATTTGATCATAGATGAAAGATTAGAAAGACATGCCAATTGTTAACAGCAATTGTCTCACGAAGACAGCTCATCTGTGATTCTTATGTTTTGTTTTGTGCATCTTGATGTTTCAAATTTTCTCCAATAAATATGTATTTTTTAAAACCAAGATTGAGAGAGAGAGAGAGAGAGAGAAAATATGAGAGACAATGATTATCCATCAACAGAGTAGTCACTGAGAGTTCTGGGTTTATCAAGATGAGAAATGACCAGCAGGAAAACCCCACATCAGACCCAGAGGGAGCTTCTGAAGAAGGACTGGGGTACAGTTGGGTTTATTTTATTTTATTTTTACTTTTACACATATATACATATAGTCGTTTATATATATATAGTTGTTTTTGAGCCAAAGTCTGACTCTGTAGCCCAGGCTGGAGTGCAGTGGCATGATCTCAGCTCATTGCAGCCTCCATCTCCTGGGTTCAAGCCATCCTCCTCCTCAGCCTCCTGAGTAGCTGGGACTATAGGCGCACACCACCACACCCGGCTACGTTTTGTATTTTTTGTAGAGACAGAGTTTTTCCATATTGCCCAGGCTGGTCTTGAGCTCCTGGGTTGAAGTGATCCTCCTATCTTGGTCTCCCAAAGTGCTGAGATTATAGGCATGAGCCACAGCACCCAGCTAGTTGGGTTTAAAATAAAAACTGCACGTAAGAAGACAAATCTATATGTGTTGTTTGTAAGTCAACTACATGGGCCATAGCAGTAAGGACTTACCTAGTTCTTGTTGACTCTCAGGAGAAGGGCATCAAAAGAGTACAAAGTATTTGAATATGGTAGGTTTTCCCATCAAGGCCCAACCTCTTCATGATGGAAGAAAAGGCTATTTCTAAAGCTATAAAGGCTAAGAATGACCGTGGATATAGTCCCCAAACAGATACAAATAATAAACCCGGCATTATTAGCCAAAGGGTTTAAATCTTAATAGGTTGAGAGTAGGGAGGTCGGGGGAGGAGACAGAAATTAAATAAACCTGAACCACAGCCAGGATCAAAATCTAACACCTTCCACTTGATGTGATGGCTCTTCCAGGAGCCTGTTAACACCTCATAACTACAACTGAGGCCCACAAAAGAAACCACTCAACAGGGGAAGCACACAGCAATCCACACACCCAAAAGTGATCACGGCCTTCAGCGCAGAACAGATCATTCTTCCTAGAGAGGCTCAGCAGTGAAAAAGCAAGGAAACTGGGGCATTTATTTAATGTTTCTCAAACTCTTGGGTGTGGGCTGCTTGTTCAAGTCATCAGTTTCGTGGAAATGCACATTTTTTTTTGTATTTCAGCAAAGGGATCCTATTTATTTGACATGTGAGGTAGTGGTTTTCTGGATCCCATCTTGTGGTCTGGATGAGAACTTGAGAATGGGCTGTGAGTTTCCACCAGGAGTTGGATCCACTAAAGTGCTGCCACCCTAGATCCTGCTAACGTGGTGAGACACATTCTGAGTCAGGGTCACGGCTGACATCAGGCCTTTCACATTCAAAAGGTCCGTCGAAGGTCAGATCAGTAAGGTCATGCAGGTGTTGCTCCCATCCTGGCCTTTTTTAAAACAAAGACTAGAGTTTAAAAATTCCCAGAAGTTGAATAAATTGACAGATAGCATAGGTTAGAGAAGGAGGTGTGTGACTGGGCATGTATTTAATAATAGCCTTTGTGGGAGATTTTTGTAATATATGAATAACTTTGATAACCACATCTCGTTCATTCTTTACCAGAAAGGCAAATGGTAACATTGCCACTCCTATTTTACAGGAAGACACTGAGTCTCAGAGAGAATGATTTGCCTAGGGTGGTAAGCTAGTAAGTGACAGAGCTGGGATTTGAACCCAGATCTTCTCACTCAGTTGATGTGCCTCCCCTAGGGGAAAGTACTACAATCCTATAGCTACAAAGGAACTTCCAAGCAGGGCCTGGGAATGGAAGCCTGAAGTGACTAACAGCCTTTTCAGGATAGGTATCACATCCTGTTTATTGTGTGCCTCATCACATATGAGACAAATGAGGAACAAAGGAGGAAAGGGAGTTGTGATGAGTACTGCACTCAACAGAATGCAGTGCCTACCCACAGACTGATGGCTTGGCGTGAATCAACATCATTCCCATGATGGGCTCTATCAGAAGGCAAAGCAATGAAACATCTTAGACCACCTTCAAGGACAGATGCAGAATAGAGACTGCAGCTGTGAGCATATGGGATCCTCCCTCCTCATCCTTTGAGGACTTTCAGAAACATTAGGCCACTTCTGAGGTCAGAGCTTGGGCAAGTAAAAAGGAGGGAGGGAGACTTCAGCCATTGAATATAGAAGGTGATATTTAAATTACCTTTGCTTTTAAAGATAGAATCATCCCTATTTTTGCACTTATCAATCTGTAGTAGTCATCTTTCCAAGTCAGTAAATATATAGATATATATCACCACGGTTAATAGCTGCATTGTTCTCCACAGTATAGCAGAGCACAATAATTTACTTAACTGATAGCCCATTGATGGGCATTTATGTTGTTTCCTACTTGTTGCTGTTATAACAATGTTGCTGTGTATATCCTTGCAAAGACAGATTTTCTGAACTTAATAAACAGCGTCAGATGGTCAGAAGAGGAAAGGTGACTTCCAGCTGGGGAAGGAGAATTGAGGCAGGCTTCACAGCACATATGGAATGTTAGCTGGATTGAAGGCTGGGTAGAGAATGTGAGATAAGGATTAGGGAGAAAGGCAATCAAGGTGGCCGGATGCAGTGACTCATGCCTGTAATCCCAGCACTTTGGGAGGCTGAGGCAGGTGGATCACCTGAGGTCAGGAGTTCCAGACCAGCCTGACCAATATAGTAAAACCCCATCTCTACTAAAAATATAAAAATTAGCCAGGCGTGGTGGTGTGTGCCTGTAGTCCCAGCTACTCAGGAGTCTGAGACAGGAGAATTGCTTGAACCCAGGAGGTGGAGGTTGCAGTGAGCTGAGATCGCACCACTGCACTCCAGCCTGGGCAACAGAGTGAGACTCTGTGTCAAAAAAATAAAGAAATAAAAATGAAGAAAGAAAGAGAAAGAGAGAGAGAGAGAGAAAGAAAGAAAGAAAAAGTAAGAAAGAAAGAAAGAGAAAGAAAGAAAAAGAAAGAAAGAAAGAAAGAGAAAGAAAGAAAGAAAAAGAAAGAAGGAAGGAAAGAAAGGTGATCAAGGCAACTGACTGAACTAGAGAGTAAAAGCAAAGAGGTGGGAAAGGGTGGGGACAAAGAATACAGTGTAATGAGGTTGGAGCACAGAGTAGATGAAGCAGAGGGGCTGGCAGTAAGATTCATAAGTAGTTTTGGATAGCACTGAGGAGGGCTTTGGCTGCCAGGCAAAGGAGTCTATTATTATATACCAACAAGATGATTTAATGCTGATTCATTCCTCTTAGAGATCCCCCATCTATGCCTCAGTACTCAATGGGTAACACAATCTCAACTCTCCTATTAATGGTTGTAAAAGAAAAAGCAGGCCCTTGATTTCTGAGTGGGAGATCTGAAAAGAAAATTCACAGGCTCCAAGAAGCTCAGTGAGATAATGCATGAAAGAACACCGCATGGACTTGCACAGAGTAACCGTGTGGTAAGAGTGAATTATTCGTATGAACAATCATAACAGAATGGCATTTTTAAATTCTGGGGTTTTGCAGTTAAAAATTTAGCATTTTTAAATGGTGACTTGGCTCTGCCTACATTTGTACTTTTAGTTCCCCATAAAGTTGCTCTGTGAGAAGGCAAGTTTGCTTCAAGGAGAGAAAAGGAGAAACCCCACCCATGAGGTGGCTACCAGCTGAGTTTTCAGATTGCTTATCTCTTTAATATTCTAGACCTCACCATCTGGTCATCAAATTCACTTTGGTCTAAACTGGCCTACGATTTTTTTTTCTGTATTTGGAGTTTATATTAGAAATTAAGATTTACTGCATTTGCAGACCGTTTTTAGTCTTTTTATGAAAAAAGTGGAGGCAATAGAGACCCACTTGTCCAATGTGTCATTTTAAACACGCTGGGCAAGCGCAGGGTGGCAGCTTTATTTATCACCACATGCTCACTGGAGTGCTGGTAAATGGAATTGCGTGCTTGGCCAAGCACACAGGGAATAAGCACAGCATTGAGGCTGGGTTTTTACAGCAGCTCTGTGATCATGAATTATGAAAGGATTAGACAAGGTTTGGGAGAAGGGAGGTTCTGTTGTTTTTTTTCCTTCTTTTGTGAAGATTTGAGGGTGAGGAAAACCCTAGAATAAAGGCAATAAAAAAAAAAAGTCCACCAAATGATGCTTATTGGGAAATAGGTTGGGAGATTCCTAATTTATCTCTCTGGTTATTTACCAAGTCAGAAACCACGATGCAAAGAACGACTTCTCTCTCTGTAGGAGGAATTCATTAGTGTTAGACTCAAAGTCCTGCCATGGCCCTGAAGCACTTGCTTTTACTGCCAACCTGAAGAGCTACAGTATTCTGTTTGCATGAATTTGAGAGTTGAAGGCGTGCTTACTTAACGTTATTGGTAAGTGAACCATACTTTTCAGAGCTGCTTATCTTTTCTCTTTGCTGCTAAGCTGTGTCAAATCCACCTGATCTGCAGCTGATAGCATTTACATCTCTTCTT